CACCTGTGGGAACAATGTGTTCGGCGCAGCAGAGCTAGTGGTTCTGTGACCACGAAATGCCTTGCTGTGAAGGTTGAAGAGTAATATTTTCCAAAATACATTACTGTATTAGCTTAGTATTGTTTAAAATTATTTTTAGTGTCGCATTGTCAAGATTTCGTTTTTTTATGTGAAGTCGAGAATAAAATACGTCGCTCTATAAATTGCAATTGCAAAAATATGGGGAAAATTGGCTGTTATTCTTGCTCCAAGTTGTGGAAACACGGTATACCTACACGACGGATAATGTCTGGGAACAAAGGTATTCAGTGAATAAGAACGACTTGCTGAAATCATTCCAGAATTGTTACTTTTTTCTAAGAGTAATTTAGAGCTTGTCAAAATTATTTTCAGTGTTGGGTTGCGAGGATTTAATTTTTTGATGTGCTTAAAAAAGAGAGAAATCGAAAGGAAAGTGACGCGTGTCTTCGTTTTTGTTGGATTGGCACTAGAAATGATCGTGACCATTATTTGAAAATGTGCCGTTATTTTTGCCACAAGTTCAGGAAATATGTAAACTTCCGACTCAGCATTTCCGTGAACAACGGTATTTTTCCATTAACCGCAGCTCTATGCTGTAGAATTGAAGAGAAGTTTGGCTTGTTTTTCATGTTTAATTCAGAGATACTGTATTAGATATCAGTGTTGGCTTGCAAAGTTTTCTTCTTTTTACTTGTGGAGAGGGAACTCGAAAAGACTTTTTCATCCAGTGTTGGATTGCGAAGTTTTAATTTTACGTGAAACTTTAAAATGAAATGGCGTCTCCGTTTTGCTTGATTCATGGTGAAAAGTTTCAAAAAAAATAGTTCATTTGGAAATTTTGCTCCACGAAAAACAGCCGAGGTACGTTTACTCCAAGTGGTTTATGTTACTAAATTTTCTTTTACCTAGTTAACCTTTGTCAACTTTTTTGAATCTAACTTGCTACGACTCTGGGAACGACATTTTTCCTTGTGTATTACTCTCCCAGGAATAAGTTAGTATCCGCGAAGTTTCGTAATTGAACTCCGAGTCAAATCATTAACTTCTGAGTGCAAAGTTTTGATGTTTCGTGAAGCATTTGTCTATGAATTTCTGTTGAAGATATTCGTGTGGATTTCGCTCGACGTATGAAATACTGTACATCATTTTTGTGACGTTAAGCAAGCACACATTTCCTGGTAATATTTCTTTTTTTCGTGCTGAATAATTCATGCTTTACTGTATGATTGGCCGGAAGGACGAACGCATTTGCCTGTTGCGAGCTCAGCTATAATGGGGTTCACAGGTTCGAGATGAGGAATTCATACGATGGGTTGTTACTAAAATTGCGTTGCTTCTGTTTGAAAAAGTCTCGAAGGAAATACTGTAAATGGAAAAAGTTATTCAGTATTTCGAGGAATGAAAGCTGGATGTAATTAAAATTTAATAGAACCTTTCCATGAATAAGGAATATAATCCGGAAAACTCTTATACCTTCGTCATACCTGTAACTGGCGCATTTATATTCTTTTTTTTAAGTATTGTTTTGCGGGAATTTTTCAACTTCGCGTAGTTTTGAAATGTTTCACATACTTTTAGCAGGCGTGTCATGAAATAATGCCTAGCATTGATTTCATTGATTGTTTTTCCTTTTTTGATATGGCATTTTTCTATAAAATATTTTCTGCTGTGAACGCGTCTTGTATGGGCTTTGAGAAGATTTTTTTGGAACGGATGATCAATAGACAAATTTTAATCGAACAAATACGTTGCTGACATTCATGAGTGCAGCCATCTTTGATTCACTGTTATCGATTTTTTGTATCTACTGTGGTGCCTCGGTTTATGGACGTCCATCTATTTCAATGGAAAGTAAATCAACGAATTAATTGAGAGTTTTAATATATAGAATGGTTAACGAGGTTAAAACGTAAAATTGCTTATTGATTCATGATGCACTGAAGATGACCTTCATACATTTTTGATCAGTCGAGAAAATGAATTGCATAAATCGGACGAAGACGTGAAAAATGAGAAAAATACGCATCGCAATGAATAAAATATCGATGAAGCTTCAACCGCTTCTAAAATCAATGTTGGCAACTAGATTTTCCTCAAAAATTAGGAATATTTGAATGTTGATCGATTTCCAAAAGCAGGGTACACTGCGCTATGCAAAAGTTGGTGGCAGTTCATGTCCAATGTGTCACGATTTTTTACGCTAGATGTCAGTCCAGAGCACCGTTGCATTCCATTCTCCTCATTGGAAATATTGTACTAACACCCATGGCCTGATGAAAAAAAATTGGTAATTCAGGTGGGCCCTCTCTACAACGAAATGCAAGGGACCACAAGGAAATTGTAGAGAGAATTTCGCTGTAGAGAGGACATCTATAACATGAGGAGAGGATCCTGTAGGAGAAAAAAAAATGGTTGTAGACATGATTGTTGGGAGTTTCCACCTGTATTATTCATGGTTTTTAACGCATTTGAGACAGCAAATTTTGTGGTAAACGAGATTCGTTATCATATTAATTTTCAAACGAAAAAATTTTATGATTGCCCCAAGTACGTGCATACACCCGAGGTCTCTCCTGAACAGGGCTGATTTCTTCCCGACCTCTCGAGCAACCCGCTCTCCTTCCCAGATCCCGCTTGTTGATTTAAGCCTACTTTTTTTTTTACTTCTTCGTGTGCTCCCAGCTTCGCCCTCTAAAAAGCTTTCACAGGTCTGGACTGGATTCATGGTTATTGATTTCACAAACTCCCATCTGCTGACGTGAGACCTGCGATGAGTTGAATGGGTTTTGGCCTGTTGGTTTCTGCTGGGGAATCTGCTCGGGTCGCTTCCTTCATGCAATGGATTTTGTTGTTCACGTCCGGAGAAAAAGATACAGTTCCGCGAAATTGAATGTGTTTGTGAGTGAGCTAACTTTTGATTCTCGGTGTGTGTCTAATTTCTGCGCGAACTTCGGGGAAAAAAATTGTGTTACCAGTTTGAAATTCAAGGTCATAGTGTTTCAAATGAATTTTTCATCACCTGAGAAGATTACAAAAGCCGTTTCGGTGTCAGCTTTTATCTGGCACTGAGAGATAAAAGGATGGGGCATGTGAGAAGTTTTATCCCGCAGTTGGAACGATTTTTCTTGGTTTTTTAATCTCAGGATGAGGGTTGTGGATAAGGAAATAAAATTTGAATATCCGTCGCTTGAATGAACTCCTGTCCATGATTCATTTTTTTTTCAATTGGACGTATCCTCCCCAATTTCAATTGAAGCATTAAATAATTATAGTAGATTAAAAAATTAATCCAAAAAACCACGTTTTTCAAGTAAGACTAAAAAGCAAAAAAAAATTTAGTAGATTAAAAAATTAATCTAAAAAACCACGTTTTCAAAAAGCAAAAAATAACCTTAAACATGGTGCGCATGGAGATTGTTGGGAAGAAGTGGAATACAAATGAAATAGATGCGCACCTCATTTAAGGTTATTTTTTGCTTTTTGAAAACATGGTTTTTTTAGATTAATTTTTTAATCTACTAAATGATCCGGACAAACAAACGGACAAGAAAGCGAGTTAATAAAAACGTGTTAAAATACAGTTCAAGATGTTTTTTCCTTTAAACTTGGAATGGCTACCTCTTTGAAAAGCATTGATGAATCATCATAATCAAAAGAACATTTTTAATAAAAATTTATTCACGTAGTTAATCATTCCTTAGACCTCTTGAAAAGCTTTGGAATCATGCGTAAGTGTTGATGGTTATCGGTGATGCAATTGTGGTCAATTTTGAACTAAATAGATTTTGTGGAGGAAAGGGGATGACATAAATTCCGTGCAGTCCTTGAAATTATGAAACCATTGAAAATGTCGTACTACTGCGTGAAACCCCGTGTAAGAAAGTGAAAAGGTTCGCTTGAAAATAAATCAAGCCTGAGACAGACCTTAATTTCACTCCAAAAGTCTCGGAATTCCGTTATCTTTTCTGTGGTCAGATTAAGCTCGCCTGGACTCTGACTAGTCTCTAATTCAATTTTGTATGGGATATGTTGTGCTTGAACTGTCTCAAGTTCGAATTTGTTAGAATTTTTATTTTCGAGTGACATCTGTCTTGCCCGCGGAAAGCAAATTTTGACGAACAAGAAAAATTGTTCATTTTTTAAATCAACGATTTCTTGTTGTTTTAGTGTTTATTTTTGTCGATGCGTTTCGATTTTGCATTCTTTTTTTTCTTTTTTCTTAGATAGACAGCACTTGTGCATGTGACGAATTCATTGCTTTATTCTACTGTAGTTCTTGAGATGCGTGATCGCGTTGGTCAGTGCTTGTTTGATCGTAAATTTCAGTGCATGATCGTGAAGTGTACGACCCGCGGCTTGTGGAAGAGGTTTTCAGGTCTAGACCGAAAATTTCGTCTTATGGTGTCATGTTCTCTGCAATTGTCGAGATTCTTTTCCCTTTATTTTTCTGTTCGTGTCGTGAATGTTGTGGGATCGTGGTGAAGCACTCGAAGGTTTGCTTAATCATTTCAGTATCGTTTATTCAACCAGGTTTATGATCCCGTGTTTCTATGGCGAATCGTCCTCATCGTCTTTGTGGTGATTGCCGACGTGATTGGTGGCGTATTTAGCCTCGTGCACCTCGCTGTTGAGCCGCGGCACGCAATAGCGCTCCAGTGATCATCTCTTCGCATCAGTTTGCTAACGTTTTCTGACCAGGCAAGTGCTGCGAGAGAGAGATGAAATCCTTAAGAATGTTCATTTCCTCTCCCCAAGGGAGGAAGAATGATCTTTTGTGTTGTTTTTCGGCTATTGTGGGTTTTGAGAACAGTACCGTTCTGTAGCGTGTGCGAGAGCAATGCGAAGGTTTAATGGCAATTTTGATGTGGGTTCAGGATGCGATCTTTGTAAAATACTGCACAGTATTTACTTGAAGGCCACGCACATCTTTTCTTCTGGAAGCAGAAAAGCGTGGTACGCTGGTATACATTTAAAAAAACATGAAATCTGTATCGGTATGTCAGAAGTTAGTCCCAGGTGAACAAATTGATATAAATTTATTTTCACCACCAATATTATTCGTTGCCTCATTTTATTTCACTTGGTTATTACAATAATTTGATACAATAATTACAATATTATTGATTATTAATTATGGTTATTACAATAATTTGAGGTTGTTACAAATTATTATTTGTTAACCAAATGTCGATTTTCAGCCAAAAACAACTTTTGTATGAGTCTTATGTGGGAATAGATTTTGCTGCGAATTTGCGCTAAAAAAGCAAGGTCCAGTACATGGATGCAAGCCTTATTCGATGGCGTGCGGTACTTGAGTAAATACGGTAATATGGACCAATGCTTGTATTTTTCCTGCTAACAGAAATTTTAGAAAATTGAAGATATTAGAATTTCTAAAAGGCCTCTGGGCAATTATTCATGTGACCCAGGAAAGAGAGAAGTCTTAAAAATGTAACTTGATGCTCTTTGAAAGGAAGTGAAACAATAATTGGGCAAGTGAATCCTGCCTCCGAGTTCAGCATCCTCTCAACTTCTTTACGATGCACTTTTGGGCCAAAAAGCTCATTAATTCCATCTCCCTTGAATTTTTTAAAGGCCGAAATGGTGGTCATTTAGCTCTAAACCTCTCTGTGTTGAATTTATTTGCTGGTCCTTGCGAATTCGACTTATTTTAAGAGGTCCAGCTGTGTTCATGAGTATTATTTCTTATTGTTTAGTTATGTCGCTGACAACGGCTGCCATCCGCCGCCTGACCACGATCCTGCACGTGCAAACGTCTCGGCACTTCACCCGAACCCTGGCAGCTGGCCAGTCCCTGTGCAAATTCGTCGACTTCAAGACTGAAGACGACTTCGTAGACTCCGTCATGTACAGCCTTGAGCCAGTGATCGTGAACTTCCACGCGGACTGGTGTGAGCCTTGCCACGTGCTCACGCCTCGACTCAGGTCACTTGTGGGGAGCAAATCGAAACTCAAGTTGTGCGTGGTGAATATCGGGGAGTTTCCCGAGCTCGTGAGGGAGTTTGAAATCCAAGCCGTGCCAGCAGTGATTGCAGTGAAGAAGGGACGCATTGTTGACCAGTTCGTCGGGCTGGTGGACGAAGAGAAAATCCGGGAGTTTCTCAGTCGGCTAGAAGAAACCGATGACCCGGCAGAAAGTTCAAGCTAATCTTTTTTTTAATTTTCATTGTCCACGTGTTATTCGATGGTTTTATTTATTTAATTATTGTATTTTTAACGAGTTTATGGTGAAAATTTCCGTGTCGACACAACTCACCGCTCTTGAACTTGCCGCACTTGTGCCGGAGCCGAAAACTTCAGCGTCTTTTGGAGTTACTGTATATTAAATTCAATTGCGGCAACTTGTATCAGCGGCAAGTTATTTCTGCGGTGAGTTGGGCTTGCGGCAGGTTGTCACAGCGGCAAGTGATGACAGCGGCAACTGTTGGTGCAGCAAGCACAGCTGCGGCAAGTGAAGGTGCGGTGAGTTGTGCCGGAGCCGAAAACTTCAGCGTCTTTTGGAGTTACTGTACTGTACTTTTTGACCTCACCCGAATTTTCAGCTGCGAAGTCTGGAGCAAAATAAGCCGCAAAAAATTGGGGAACTATACTACTCCGTAAAAAATAAGAAAAAATCTACTGATTCCTCCTATAAAAACTTCGAAAAAGGAAAAGGAACACCAGATCGAGAAGAGAAATTCACGGAGAAACACGCGGGTAGCTCTAGTTCTGCAGTTTACATAGAAATAAAGCATGATTATCTCGGGTATAGGCCGCATAGAGGGAGACTGGGTGCGGCCTATGCGCGAATTTTTTGTGTATACAGTACTCCAAGCCGCTCCGAAATTTTTATAAAGGATTTTTTATTTAGAGAAAAGGGAACCCTATACAAATGTTAGTCCGGTATTTTCCGCCGGTATATTGTTCGGTGTTGAGAGAAAACTCACTTTGTGGGAAATGTCGGGCGGAGAAAATGCTTGGAAAAGAATTGAAAAGAAAATAGTTGAATGAGGCGCAGTAATATTTTTCCACCTCCCGGTCTTTTTTAATGTTTATTCAACTGCTTAGATGTCCTGTTGCTTTTAATTTTTCAAGAGGGATATTTTGTTCATTGTTCATTTTTCTTAGATTTTTTTCACAGGAATCGTTCTTGATTATTGCCCCACATTGTTTTCTCCGCTCTCTTTTTTCTCCTGCGTTTTCACTCGCGACGTTTTCTCCACCCCATTATTTTTCTTGAGCACCACCTGTCTATAATATTTATGAATGTTCATTTCAATTTATCCAACAGTTTTCTGGGACTTCGTTCCAGCTATAGTCGATGTGAATGGTAGAGTTGTTGCACATAAAAGGGAAGCAACTAAGAATTTGAGAGGTTATGAGATCTCAGGCGAAGTTGGACGAATTTGCCGGGGGATTGTTTCAATATTTTGGTTCAAGCAGTTTTCCAAGTACAGTTAAGTACAATGATTCTCGAATAAGGGATGCAACTCCAAGATTTGTCATTGTGAAATATTTTTGGTTCAGTTCATTCTCGTGAATCATAAGAACGGTACATTTTTCACCTTTTAAGATCTCGTAATTGAAAAATTCCTGGAAGCCATCGACTGCAATCAAAAAGTGTGTTTTTTAGGAATGTTTTTGACTGGCCTCAATCGCTGGATATTCTTTTTGGCTTCTGTCTGGTTAATCATTTTATTTGTTTCGCTGTTCGTCGCTATAGCTCCTACAGCGTTCTACCTCACTAATTCATTTTTCAGGAAGTAAACTCTCTGTTCCAGAATGAATTTTGCTAATTACTGTATAAAGATTTTTTAGGTGTAAGTTATCGTTTTTAATGAAGCGTCGGAGCACTCATGCTTTTCGAGAAAAGAATGAATCGAGGTCATTTTTATATTTTCGAATAATTGGGCACGATTTTTCAGTGATTTTTTTTTATGCTTCGTTTGGCAGTTTTTTGATGTGATCCGAAAGCGCGGTAGAATGTCGGACGAGATGTTCAACGCTTTTGGGCGATGGAAAAGCGTCAGTGAATTCGAGTTTGAATTGAATGCATTTGTGGGGGTTTCTTCTTTTTTTTTTGGGTGCTGTGTTCTCAGTTGATTCCGTTTTAATGGGGTTCTTGATTTTGATTTGGCAGTCAATAAAATTTGGTGCTGTTGTGAATCTCTGACGTTGATTTTTTTAATTCTTGTGTATTTGATTTGATTTTGTGTGTACGAGTCTTATGGCGTTTTTTTGATTATGCGAATCACAGCTTCGTCAAAAATTCTTGTCACATACATGATCAGATATAACCGTTTTGCAGCAGAGCAAATGCCCAATTTTACGCTGCGAATTACAACTTACAAGATGAAAAAAACCTTTTCTATTCAGCAGAGCCAATGTCTGGAAAAATCAAGGTAGTTCTTCCTTTGTGCAGAAACATTTTCTTGAAAAAATAAGTTTTTTCACTGCTGTGAGGCCTTTTTTCCAGCTTTATTTCGAGGGTTTTTATTTTATGTTTCCCTATCAAATAGCAATTTATTCATCTTCTTCAATTATGGTCATGGCAATATTCTCCCGTGTCCTGATTCACATGTAAATTATGGTACTGTACTAGATTCACATTGAATTCAACAGTAGCTGGGTACAGTATTGTGTGCAGGATGCTGTAAGGTTAGCTCTTAATAATCATCTTCCCATGACAAGAACTCCAAGTTGCCTAATATATTATACAATATATATATATATATTCTGCATATGTAATGTATATATTTGCCTTGATTTGAATCATCTGTTGTGACAATGTTATCACAATCCTAAATCCAAGGAATGAGAGAACTTATTTCTGCCCGAAAGCTGGCGAGGAATACGAAAAATGCCTACCAGGAAACGTTGAGGTGCTTCGAGATCCTATTCGCATGGCACGCGGATGTCCTCGTTTCCTCTGCAGTTCTTGAATTGAAGTGGGAGAAGTGCGAATTTTGGGCGTCCGTCTCTGAAGGGCAAGATGCATGACGACTTCTTCTTAACTTGCAGATAGAGTTACCCATTCACTATATCTATAAACATTCAAATAGTGCTGACTGGAGCCTTCGAGGAAAATGTGGAATTAATGTGCGCGGTGTATTCCAAGAATATTTGCGTGTGACGCCCCTGCGGATGTAATATTCGCAAGATATGGCATTTCTATGTCCCGTCCGCATTCGGAGGAGTAAAAAGAAGAAGCGTAAGTTACGATATTTGTTGAGACTGTTCTCTGTACGTATGTCGAAACGCATGCTGATACCAAACTTGTTTCTGAACATCCAGCTGTGGTTTATCTTCTCACTGTTTTCAATTATGTTCAAATGTACGTTCTTAGATGGAGAAACTATGGACGATATCAGAGTTGGCCTCGGAAATTCCGGGGTTGCTGCGCCGCATCTGGGCCGAATCACGGGAAGCGCATCGATAGAAACACTTGTTCGTGTTGGGCTTGAAAAGGAGCACGGACTGTCACCAGACTCGAAAATGGTCGTTCTACATGATTTCAAGCCATGCGTGGACGATGAGCTCAAAGTGAAACGTGGAAGTGTAAGTTTCCCGTATGCAGCGGGTGAATTTTATCATGCTGTATTGCGTTGAAGTAGTTTGAAGTTGCTCTTGGAAAGTCTTTCGTTTTCTCGCGATTATCTGTTTTGGATGCGATAAATTTACTTCATTTGTCCTTTTTTCCTAGATTGTGAACGTGCTTTATCAGGAGAATGATTGGGTGTACGTTATCGGCGAAGGAGATGTTGGCGAAGGATTCATACCACATTCATATTGTGCCCCGTTCGGGTCTCCAATGGCAGATCTTGCCCTTAATGTGAAGCACAAGAAGATACCGCGAGCTGACCCGAATGTCTCCGTTGCTTCCGAGTCTCATCATCTAAACACGACGATCGGTACCCTCAATCATAGTATGATCATCCCTGGCCAAGAGAATTCCGATAATGAAAGTTACCTTGATGTCACTGCCCACAAGCAAAACACCGTCCATGAGTCCCAGTGCTCATTGCAAAGCGGAGGTTCTTCTCAGCCTGAAACTCTTCCATTTTTCAAAGTAGGCCTCAAATTTTATTCGTCTCCGTCTCCTGGTTTCTACACATCATTTTCGTTTTTAGGATCCGTCGGGAAGATTTCTTGTGTTGTACACATTTATAGCCAGAGACGAGAACGACGTGAGTGTTGAGAAAGGAGAATTCGTTACTGTTCTGAACCGCGAAGATCCCGAGTGGTATTGGATTGTGCGGTCGAATGGTCAGGAAGGCTTCATCCCGTCGGCTTTTGTTTATCCAGCCAAGTTGATAGGTTCGTGGGACTCGTATGAATTTTACTTGTAATCTGTACCTGTATGATCAATTGTTCTTGCATGCCTACTCTTCAGGAGCTATAAGGAACACCCAAGGAACCGGTGGAGGGCATGTTCAAGCTCAGAAACCCGCAACTACGTACAGCAATCAAGGTGCCATTATAAATCCTGTTTCTGGACAGCGAGTTAGCACTCAAGAAGATATGAATGCAAGTTTTGCTGGCCCCGTCGAGAACTCCGTAGGATCCGGCCACCATGGACCAGGTGCCACTGATGCTGACGTTGCCCGGTGTCAAGGAACAGAACTTGTTATGCTTTACGAATACAAGGTAAGTCGTGGAAACTGAGCTCATTAGGAGAGCGGGTGCTGTTGAAATCTTTTTTGAAAAAATTGCAAAAACAATAAAAAATGATCAAACCATTTGGTTACTGAATTGAGACAAGGTTTTAATATAGTTTAATGTCAAAAGAAAGAAAAGGGGAAGAATAATTACCCGAAATTGTAAGTGGTGCTACTGTATTTCGAGCCATAAATTGCTTCTTGAATGAGTCGACAGGAAGCTGAAGTTGCAGACAAGGGTTTATTTGCCCAATCTTTCACTTCCTTTCGAAGCATATCAATTTACATTTTTATTGCTTCTCTCTATCCTGTGTCAATAAAGTAATAGCCAGAAAGGCCTCCTAAAAATTTGATTTATGGAGGTTAGAGGGAAGAAGTCTTCGAGTTGGGAGGTTTTTAATGCATTGCTCAAAAGGGAATTCATACAATGATTTTTTAAAAATTCTACATAGGGAGGTACAGTATTTTATTTCAGTAGGTTCGAGTTATCGAGGTTCAACTGTATCGGGTCTTCTGTGCAATTTCATTTTTAATACTGTACTTGTACTGTACGTCTTTTTACTTTCCTTTGGATCTATTGAATGTATTTGTATAACCAGGGAAGACACTTGATTTGACGAGTGAATGTGACAGCCGTCGAAGAATAATCCATTTGTATTAATCTAGGCACAAGCCCCGGATGATTTATCTGTCGGAAGAGGCGATTGGGTGTATGCGGACTTGAACAACCAAACCGTGGACGGATGGTTGTGGGCTTATGCGCCGAAAACCCGAAAATACGGGTTCATTCCTCGTGCTTATGCAAGGCCTCCCGCGACGACAAGTCTGTGAGCGTTTAGGACATGTAACTCGCAATTTAGTTTTTTTTTTCTCGGGTTAGCAAGGTGGCTGAGAAATTTTTTTCTTAGCTTTCGAGATCCAAGCACTCGAATTAAAAATAAGTGGGTGATTAAATTGGCGTGGTTTGCAGGGTTGGAATGTGCTGTGTAATCCGCCTTTCGTTTTTCAATGCCATTCCCGAGAATTTTAAATTCTTGGACAATTATTTTTGAAGATATGAGGTGATCTTGGATATTCCCCTCCGTATTGCAGCACTTGGATGCATTATTAGCCAAAAATGTGAAAATTCCTATGCCTTCCAGAAGAATCTCTTCGAGATCTCTCGTGTCAAGTGCCTAAATTCAAATGCATTTACTGTATTATCTTTTCCTTCCAAAGATGGCCGCTTTGAAATCACGAGCTCCGCCCGAGCAGCTGTATTTGTACTCAGACGAGCGATTTATGGTTTTCTCATGTGCGAATGGCTTCCGCTTTCTGCTTTGAGGAAGAAATCTTCGGGTTTCCCTTCCGTTTATCGGAAGTTTATCTTGAATCTTTCTCGAGTGTCTCCAATGATAGCTATGAAAGTTGAAGACGCCTTTTGCGTGCGAATTTTGGGAAAGAAATATGAAACGTTGCCGTCCTTACAATGACGAGATGGCTGTCGAAAGGATCTGACTGGAATATCACTTCTGTGCCAAGAGTGCCATTGGATTTGGCGTGCTCGTGACAAAGAATACTCCCGGCTTTCTTGTTCGCGTGGAATGAATGCTTGCTGTGCCATTTAGAGACTCGAGTTTGTTGGGATGTCGCGATATATTTTGTGCAGAATTTAGGACATGTGACAGGCTTTTTCCAAAGCTTCTGTAGTAACGTTTTACTAACTGCGTTTTTACCAAATTTTTCCTTGTGGAATTGCCGGATTCGTAGGAAGTTCGAACCTCTGATCGGTGGAGTCGCTTGGTTTATTTGTTGAAATGTATTGCTGCCATATTTTGAACCGTGTGCATGTGTTGAGTTTTTGTGGAAGGTTCCTTTGAAAAGTTTGCCTGAAAAGGCTGTCATTTTTCCGTGACGCTAAAATAATGCCGCCACTACAGTACTGTATTTCCAGATTCATTTGTGATTCCAGCCTTCAGGGGAACTAGGAATACAGAGGTTTCTCCATGGCTTTCATCGAGTGTTAATCCGCAGGATTTCATAAGATCGGACGGTTCTGCATCCTTTTTTGGATTCTGTTTTGCGCTGAAGGTATTTCTTGCGACGATTCTCGGACTACCAGGGAAATCATCCTGAAGCAAACTACTATCTGAGGTCGCTGAACGGCGTTCGGAGAAGTTTCGTTCTGAACCTTGAAGTGATCGTATTTCAGGTCTGGTTGGAATACGTATTGATGAAAAATGAGCATTTCTCCTGTCATAAATAAATTATAGAAAAGTAAGGGTCAATCCGATGACGTTCAAAATGTTCGTGTATCTTGAATTAAAATTATTTTTTCAGTCGTTGGACAATTTGCAAACGATTACAGCACCCCGATCATTTCCATCTTTCGCTCACTTGAACCAGTCAGAACACGAATGTGAGGTGCACGAAGAACATACTGTACGTAGATACACACATGTTCCTGTGCCTTCTAGTGATTCAAGTAATGATGCTAGAATTTTGAAGGACAATACAAAAACATCATGAAATAGATTGAAATTCCGAATAACTCCACTGCCGAGCGTCTTATTAATTCACCCTCCATGTCGGCCTTCGTGTGAAGTTCACAGCCGAAGGAGGCAACTAGAAGGATTATTGACGTCACATTATCCTGCGTGAATGTCGGTAACGATTTCTTAGTTTATTTGATAGAAAACTGTGACGCCAAGTCTCCACGAAAACGATGCCTGCTCCGTAATAATAAGGTATGCAGTTTCCATACGCATGCCCGGTGAACTTGCGGTTGTTTTGTTTTAGATGCCAGCCACAGCGCAAGATCGGGAGCTTAATCATGTTTGGCTTTCCAGCACCGCCGTTTCGTGGTTCTCACGCGTAATGTCCTGCTCGTTTATTCTTAATGTACGCACTCGGATCATACCTGATTTTGATGACGTCCAACCGCGCTGGAATTTGTGACCCTGACGTTGGTTTCATTCCTCTTATGGATCTTGTCATTGTTAGCTTGAACGTTCTATTCCCTCGTCAGTGTGATTTAAGCATGCAAAATTTGTCTTCAGGCTTAGTTTGAATGCGCGTGCCGGTCATCGAATGAACCACACAATTGAATATGCGGTACTTTAGAAATGCATTGAATGAACATCAACTTTAAAATTTTCAGTGCGCTACGGCTTAAACCCTATACAGTGTATGGATATTTCCTAGAAAATCGGGATGGTTCGGTTATTGCGTCAGAATAGTTTCATTCTCGCGATTTATATATACATTAATAATCCTCTTGTGTGATTCATACCTATGAATCACCATTTTCCTCCATGCCTTTTAAATACTGAAATGAAAATTGATAATTTAAATGCAAATCTTCTGTGTTCCTGAATGTTCCAGACATCTGCAATCTTCATTTCATAAATATACGACTTATGTCAGAATAGTAAGTTGAGGGAGGGGATGAAAATACTGGACTAGCGATTAAATAATTCTTGAAATAAGGAAAATTCTTGGTGGAAGGGGGGGGGGGTAAGAGGTAACGTGGTGCTTCTTCGCGTGCTGTGCGTATACATCAGTACTGTATTCGAAAGAAGGTTGTTGGTTAGCTTCATTATTACTATAGTTTATTCAGTGTTTGTTCGCGGCGGATGCTCAAGATGGTATCATAAATATTGAACGGGTAGAAACGGATAGTTTATCTTATGATGGAATCCGATAAAGACAATGAAGAACCCGAGGAGGCACAGTCTTCCCTGGGGCGCAGCTGGAAAAAGAAGTCGAAGGTAAAATATTGAGGATTGTTCAAAGAATTAATTCGCATCTCATTTGAAAAATTACCTAAATGGCGGAGAATGGATGATACAGTTTACCTTTTTAAAACACGACATGCAAACAGTGGACGACAGCAGAACCCCTCTGTCTTACACCTGTAAACGGCAGCCCGACATGTACTACTTCAACATGGGCCTAAGAAACTTTGACTGTCGGTAAATGCCGTATTGACACAGGACGTCCATCATAATTTTTGGGAGCTTTATCGGGGCTTGGATCGACAGAACCTTCCGGATCCGTGGTTAGTTATATATACAGCACTAATTGTGCGTGAAAGAGTAAAATACCATACGAGCAACAGCACAATGCAAGAAATGTAAAATGCCGACGTTATTCTTAATCGGGTAAATGTCGGCTTTTTAATAAGTGAAGCTAAATAATGCGGCTCTTCTATACAAATGAGCGCACACTTTTCGGATGAAATATGTCAACGCGCGAGATGGTGTCAAATTTTGAACAATTAGTACATCATCCAGAGTACCACAGTAATACTTGTACTATATTAACACCTTTTCGGGGCGACACTTTCCAACTTTCACTATAGTAAACATGCAGTAAATACAGTATACAGTACTGCACTTGAAGCTTTCATAGTTTCTGCACGTGTATTCCCGTTCGTGGTTCTCATCCTTCCGTTCCCTTCAAAAATGTTGATGGATATTGACGATTTTCGCGAAACCAAGCGTGAGTTTTTTCTTTAACTTCGCAGCTGCCCGAATAGCCTTGCTGACACAAAACTCCAACGTTGCCGTCTGCGCGCTGCTCTTGTTGATAGTTCTGACTTTCAACAATCGACTGCAGGAGTACGCTTATTGGGCGAAGCCTTTAAGCCAAGCCGTCATCGTGTTCGTGGCAGATGTCGCTGCTTTGGCTTCACAGGCCTCTCATATTATTCTTAGCAGGGATTGGATTGTCGTCATTTCTGCTGGTGACAGAGCTCTACTTTCTAGTAAGTCAAATTTTGCAAAGAATAATGAAATATTGCTGATTACTGACTACTAACGTTACTTATCTGGACCTGTACATGTAAGAAGCATTGTGGCTCCTATCTGAAGTCCTGATGATGCTCAAGCGGATGCAGCAGAAAGTGCTGTTAATCTGTTATTATGGTAGGGATGAATCATGGGAGCAGTATGGGTTTTACAGAACTGAGAAGTCTTCGTGCAAATATTTTCTGGGATCCCGTACATGATTCAGGATTGTAATTTTTTCGTGAGGTCGAAGTACAGTATAAAACAATTTCTGATCAATCCTGTGCTGCAGGTTACAATTCAGTGATGAGAGCCATTGATCTGGGCTCAAACATCCTCGCTCCGAGCAGTGTTGGCTTTGTGATGAGCTTGATGTCCGCGAAGTCCGCTGCTGTCTTTCTCAGCGCCTGGAATATCGTTTCCATGGCAATCGAATACATGCTGCTCACAAACATTTACAAGAGCTTCCCTGATTTGGCCGTGAAATCTTTGACAACGGATAATCAAGAATCTTTCTTTTCGCCGGATGGAAGTTAGTCACGCCGGGCTGTCGGTGATCCGTAAACAGCTTGATTCATGGGATCGTTTTCGTAGGTGTGGAAGACCAAGCAAAAATTGAAAAGCGTGGATCTTCGGAATGGTTAAATACTTGGCTCAGTTACTTCAATCACGAAGTTTTCGCCGCCGCATTTGGATTGTCGCTCTTGTACATGACCGTGCTAGGATTTGATCATGTAACCACAGGTACGATTTTGGACAATGATTCAGTAAGCAGTGAACGCGTTGTGTCGCATCGAAACCAGAATATCAGAAGCTTGAGTATAATTTGCGTGGTGGTACTCGTCCGTATAGCTATATATCCCTTACACAGTATTTGTCCCGAGACAAAAGCGTGAATAAGAAGATCTCGAAGTAGTTCGAATTTCCGGCTTTCTTTTCCAGCCTACGCGTATTCTCAAGGAGTTGAACCGTGGGAGCTTGGGATGTTCTCTAGTGCAGGAGCACTGGTTGGGATGGCCGGAGCGCTGAGTTTCCCTTTCCTGACGGCCAAACTTGGGTTACACCGAACTGGGATTCTAGGTTTCACTTCGGAGGCTCTCATGCTTTCCGCATGTTTGTTGTCCATCTTCCTGCGTGGATCCCCTTTCAAGGTACGCTACTTTTCTTTCGATATTCAGGGGATTTCTCGAAAGTGGTACTGTTCCCCTGCTGTAAATCATCATGGAGGCATAAATGAAGTCTGTCTATCTATTGTTAACAGCTAGCATGTTCAGACTATTTTCAAGTGCGTATTTACGG